TATTTATATATTATTATTATAGTTATCTACTATAATCTACTGTTAAAAAAAAAAGAAAATAAAAATGTATATAAAATGTTTATAATTTGGCACAACTATTTGCATTAACACAATCATAAACAATATTTAATATATTTCACAAATGTCTTATATACACATGTGTATACTAGTTATCTATTAAAATGCTTTGCCTTTGCTGCAATTTGTAATCAATTGCCTGCAAACGCTAACTAAACAAACTGATTGGCCTTATCGGCTCAGTAATTATAAAGCGACCTTTGGACTTACACGTCATAATTGAAATTGACGCGTGAGTCAATGGAGTCGCAAATTGGGTTATTAATATTGACTATCTTACAACCGGCAGCCACAGGCAGGTGCAATATATAATTGAACAGGTGATTGAAAACTGCTGTAATTGACTAACGCTAATTGTTATGATTGTCTGCTGCCGTTTAGTGAGTGCTTACAGTGCGAAGAGAGCGTGTAAAGGGCGGCGGGTCGGCGGGTCGGCGTGTCGCCAGCACTGAGATAAGCTATCGATTATGTTATCGCAAAATAAATTTCTTCTTTTTCTCATTTTTATTTTTTGGCCAAAAACTTAAGACCCCTTTCTATCGTAGGTCGTTCAGTAAGCAAAGCAATTTCGAATCGAACGGAGCGTGAAAGCAAAAGATATTGTGAAAATATTTGTAGATAATTATTGCAACTAATATCGCGTCATAAATCGAATAATGTTTCTGCTAGTCTTTGGCATTATTTTGGCCACCATTCTGGTGGTCAAGGGCGTGAGGATATTCAACTACATAGATCACATGGCTGGCATTATGGAAATGATACCGGGACCCACGCCCTATCCGTTCGTGGGCAATATCTTTCAGTTCGGTCTGAAGCCAGCCGGTAAGCCCAATAGATAGCCGACGGCCTATATTTATGCACTAATTTGCAAGCGGAAAATTTTATTTGTAATTATTTATTATTTTTAATATTTTCTGCAATTCCAGTTGAAACATTATGTGCTTGACTCATGCTTATATCAATCTCAATTTATAGAAATATCAAGATGTATCTATTGCAGTCGCTTGCGCTTTTTGTTATTTTATTTTTATTTTTTTCATATTTCTTGCAATTTTCATCATATTTTGTGCTCTTGCCACTGCCTCTCCCTTGGGCAGCCCGCACAATTTGCTGAGTAATTTTGGTGTTGTTTCTTCTGAACGTGCGCTTGCCAAGTAATCATTCCAAATGCACAATAGTCGGAATACAAAACTTTGCACAACAATTGATAGCTTTGCCTTGCTTCGATAACATTGCTAGCGCTGCCGTCTGTCTCTTTCTGTCTCTGTCTCTCTCTGTAGGCATCCTGCTGTCTGGCTGCCTTGTTATCCTTGTTTGTAGCTTGCTCATTTCTTTCTCATTTTCTTGTGCATGCGGAATTACAATTGAAATTGTTTGCATATTAAGTTGCGTCAAAGTCCAGGCACAACATAATCAACAGCAAATCAATGTAGATCTAATAAACTCAAAACTCATTAAGACGCAGCTCTATCTCTATCTCTATCTCTCTCTCTCTCGCTCTCTCTAAAATAAAATTTGCGGATTCAATTGCAAGCTGCCTAATGCGTATCAAGCAGTCTATTAAAACTATTAAAACAATCCAGCTATCGCACAGGAAATTACAGCTTTTTGGCAAGTTGTAAGTTCTGGAAATTGAGCTGCCAAATGCGAATGAGAACTGAATTATTGAGAATGCCATGGAAACCAATTTTGCTCTGGCTGCAACGAAGCTCGCAATGTGCATTTAATATGCCTCGAAGCCGAAACTAAATTTGCAGGAGCATAACTTATTGAATTTTTGTAAATTTCATTTCAACTTTCTAGGAATTTGCTGATAGAAAACTCTCAGAAAATTTGCCATATTTTCATGTTGCATATTTTTTGCTTTTCTCCCCTAGAGTACCCCAAAAAGATATTGCAATATTGTCGAAAATATGACTTCCATGGCTATCGGTCCTTGGTGTTCCTGCAGTATCATATAATGCTCAGTGATCCGGCGGAAATTGAGGTGAGTGCTGCAACATTCCTCTCAGCTAAAGTTTTGAGCACTTATACTCCAAATGCTATTGATAGAACATGTTGTCGAGCTCTTCACTGCTGTACAAGGAGCACTTGTATTCGTTTCTACGCCCCTGGCTAGGCGATGGCCTGCTCACCAGTTCCGGTGCCCGCTGGCTAAAGCATCAGAAAATCTATGCACCGGCCTTCGAGCGCTCGGCCATCGAGGGCTACTTGCGTGTTGTGCATCGAACTGGCGAGAGGTTCGTGGAGAAGCTACGCCAGCAGTCGGAGTCATCAAAGCCTTTCGACGCCCAGGAGCTGGTGGCCAAGTGTACACTGGATATTGTGTGTGGTAAGTGGGCTGGTGGTTGGTGGAAGGTGGCTCAGGTTGCGGGCGCAGGCATTCTGTTGGCAGAAAAAACTTTAAGCATTTGTCATGGGCATTTTGTGTTTTGGTTAACTTTCTAGGCTGCGGTTGGCGCAGCGTTGCACTCGTTTATTTTTGTAATTTATTATGGCCGTTTTATAAAAAAGATTTATTACATAGAAAATTGCTACAAGTGCCAGAGATTGTGTGGTGAAAAAACTTTTACCCAGCAACCAATATAAAGTGTAGGCTGCCACAGCACCATGTAGCATGGGCTAATGGTTAACATGAAATATTGAAGCATTTGAAAAATGATTGCAGCTGATAAGCAATCTTAAAGTAACACATATTTGATATATGTATGAATATGTGCTCATGCTTGAGGAATTTGCATAAACATTTTGCTTACTTGCAACAGAGAATGCGACTGGAAGCGTTAGCAACTCCTTGAACGACGAGCCCTCAAATCTGCACAGTGCCATCAAAGAGTAAGTTTTTTACGGCGAATGGAGCTGCCAGTATACTAATAATGTATATTTATTTGTTATCAAAACTCGTCGTTAGCCTCTGCGATGTCGTGCTGCAGCGCACCTTCAGCATAGTCAAGCGCTGCGACGCGCTCTTCCGCTTGAGTCCATATTACCTGAAGCAGTATCGCGCACTGCAATTGCTCAGGCGAGAAGTTAAGGAGGTATGTTTTGTAAAAAATTATAGCAGCTGATAATACAAAATAATTCAAATCAAAGTAGAGTTAAAAAATTAAATTAAATAAAATTTGCATAATAATTAATGAATGATATTCTAA